TTTTTCAGTTCTAGAATTTTCATTTGAGTTTCTAGTTTCCAGCCTCTGATAAATTCTCTATTTTGTCATATAATTTCTTGAACATAGTAAATACAGATACTTTTTAAGTCCATGTCAGATAATCCCACTATCTGTATCTCCTGTGGGTCTGTTTTTATTATCTATTTTTATTTGGATTTTGTTCGGTTTTTGTTGTTGGCATGCCATGTAATTTTTAACTAAATGTCAGATATGTGTAGTAAAAAACAGAGATAATTTAAGACTGGATGAGTTATTTCTCTCTAGGAAGATTTTACTTTTGTTTATAGCAGGAAATGGTCTAGCACAGATCAATTTGATTCAATGACAACTTGAGTTTGTTCAAATCTGTACTTTAATCTTTGTGAGGGTTTACCTATTTCTGGTCACCCACATTCCTAGCATCTAATCCTTTGGGGTCCCACCAAAAGCTCTGGGTGTATACCAGGACCATTAGAGGGCCAGAATGTCAATATTTGCTTCCATGCCTACCTGCTTTGAGAGACTATTGAAAGCTGTGTTCAGATTTTTAGTCTCTTAATGCCACTATTTTACAGGCAAATGTCTTGAGGGATAAAGAAGCTTCAGAATTTTCTCCTGGGACTTTTCTTCTCTTTGAGATCTTGGCCCCAGAAGTACTCACTGCTTTGGTAGATTTCTAATGCCTTTGAACAGATGTTTGTCCAGTGGTTCTTGGCAGAAATACTGGACCAAAATAAATGCCATTGCCAGCATAAAAATTCTCTTTTTGGCATTTTGATGTCTTTTTCTTAGGGAATTAAAAAAACATGAAAAGATAGAACTATACTTTTTTTCATTTTAAATGCTCATTGATGGTTGTGGGTAAGACATATATATCTTGAATTATTTGTGCAGATCTGGCCTTTGAATTCTGGAAAACTTTTTGGGATACATATGGGACAATGTGAAATCTATTATGAGTTTGTTCCATAGTTAAGAACCAAAAACAACTAAAGAAGATATACAAAGGCCAGTAGGCACATGAAAAGATGCTTAATGTCATTAGTCATCAGGAAAATGCAAATCAAAGTCACAACAAGATACCACTTCACACCCACTAGGATGGCTAGAATGAAAAAATAGAAAATTCAAGTTAATAATAATAAAAATATTGGTGAGGATGTAGAAAAATTGGAACCCACATACATTGCTGGTGGGAATTCCAAATGATGCATTAGCTTTGGAAAACAGTCTGGCAGTTACTTAAACAATTAAACATAAAGTTACCGTATAACACCATATATGGGACCTATATCAGGGAAATATAAGTTTTGTTCCATCTGTGGTTTTTGGTTTTGTTTTATTGTTGTTTGGTTGGTTGGTTGGCGTTTTTTTTTTTTTTTTAGATACCTTTAAGATACCTAGGAGGAAGAAAAATCTGGTAAGCCCTGGGATAGGAGAAAATAAAACCATGGTTGCTGAGTGGAAGAGAAAGATGTGCCTATGAATGAAATTGAGAAGGGGCTGCAAGGAAAATGAGAGGATGATTAGGAGAAAATGATTTGATCACTTCTACAGGAAAAGTTTAGAGAAGATGGGAATGAATAACATCAAGTGTTACAGAGAGATCGGGAAGGAGCAAGATCGGAATCCAGACAGCAAAGAGTCGAGGATTAGAATGTGAGTGTTTTGATTACAGATAACTCTGGAGGGTTGACTGAAAAGTGTCAGAAAGAATGTAGAGGTAGAAGGAGGCGCAAGATGAATAGAAGGATCTTCTCTACCTCCCTCCTGCTTTTCTTTCCCTCCCTCCTTCCCTTCCTTCCTTTTCTTCTTTCCTTCCTTTTAACATTGTTATAGAAAGTTCCCAATATACAAAAAGATTGAGAAGATATTATAATGAATTTCCATGTATCTATCACACAGCTTTAACAATTTTGTACATATTTCCTACTGAAAGATGGGTTTTTAGAAGCAGCTGATTTAGGCATATTCATACACTCAGGAAAAAGAGCCAAGATATAGAGAGCAGTCAGAAATTTAGAAGAGAAAGACATTAATTGATGGAACAATTTTTGACAAGGAGACAAGTGATAGAGTGTAGTATAGGTGGAGATCCTGGCTCCAGATAGTAAGAAAGACACTTTGTTTACTGATTTGAGAAAAAAGGGTAAAAATCACTGCTCCTCAGAAATCTGGTTAAAATTCCAATTTCTAGAAGCTTTCGGTGCTAACTCCTCCAGTTGCCCTCTGCCACTACACTCCATATCCCTTCAGGCTACCTCATTTCCTCCCTTGAAGTCATTCACTAATGTTTTTTTGAAAAATCTATTCCACCCAAGGATTTTGTGAATTATTGAAGATCCAGTGTCCATGAAGAGTAGTCGCAGCGATTCCGAAACAACAGAAAAACTGTTCTCCTTGTCCTACAAATAGGATTCCCTTCCTAAGAGGAATCCTGGAGAATAAAATATAAAATATTCTTCATCATTTAACATAGAGATTAAGTTTTTGGTGTCAAGTCAGGAAATGAGCAAATTCATGCCTAGTGACAATTTCTCTGTGAAATAGGAAGAGAGTTCATTTGGAAGAAGTTCATTTGGCTGCAGTTGAGTGGGAGAAAGCTTTATAAGTGTGGCAAGAGTTTGGAATATTGCCAAAGCCTTTTTCTTTAAGCTTTGCTTAAAACGATATCTTGCCTTCTAATAAAAATGAAAACAGCAAAATGTCCCCCCTGCCCCCTCATACACACTCATAGGAAAAGAGAATAAGATTATTACACGATGTTAGACTTCTATAAAGTACCATTTAAATGGGTGGGACTGCCACCTGATCTCTTTTTGTGTTTACTGTGGGAAGATAAGGTTGGGAAATGGTGTCAGGGAACTTTTCTCCATTTAAGTCTGAATAGGTAGGTATTTCCATGAGCATTATCCTAGCCATTGGTTGGATAAGAGCTTAATTCTAGTGGTAGAAGTGTACATTCCAAGCATTTTGTACAAGCTTCTTGTCTCCCAAGTATATCTCTCCTCCTGGCCCCCTCTCTATCTGTGATAGATAAAAGATGTAATTTGGAAATAATTGGCCCAACAAGAGAAAAAAAGAAAAATGCTTAAAAAAATTTTTGCATCATTGTATTTTTAAAAGTAATAAATAACTTGGAGTTGAAGTACCATAAATATAACAATGTAAATACTGTATGTGTATGAATATGTAACTTACATTTTAATCATTTATGCTTAGCTCATCTTCTGCATTTGAAGTAATTTTCTATAGTGGGAAGAACATAAGGACTAAAAAGAAAAGGATTCAATACTAGATCCTTAGGGTGTACAACTTCGTAATCATACACATGAAATATATTATCAATATGTACTGCTTTACAATGTTCCACTGAATTAGCCTCTCAGAAAAAAGTAACTTAGTCCAATTACTTCTCAGTCTATTGCTGTGATAGTATTTATATCTTTTAAATTTGGTTACTAGACAGCCATCTTTTCAGTGAATGATATCAATGATTTAAATCAGTGCCAAAAGACTATGAGAAAGGTTGATGCTTTGAGTAAAACTGAGCTTCTCCCAGGCAAATAAGTACCAAGTCTTCAGAGTTTTTATGCCTACCAAATGTAGATGTTTTTCCACTGATTCAGAACTTAAGAAAAAAACCCTTTATTCATATGCATTTTAAATTATACATCTAGTTACAAACAATTATGTTACATAAGTACTGCATTTTAAGAAGCAGATATGGAATGTATTCTCATCTCAATTTTATGGGTGAGAAAACAGGACCCAGAGAGATGGCCATTTCCCCAGTATATCCTGGTGAGAAGAGTAAAACCAGAGCTAGACTTGGTTCCTAACTCCAAGCCCTACCTCCTGTCCCTCTTTACTCTAATATGTGGTGGTGGTGGCAGTCTGTAGTAAATGATTATATTTCAGTTTAGACCACACAGTTTGTGCTTATAGGTTGGCAGCACATTTCTTAGAATAGAACTCACAGCCAACAGTGTCATATTCTTGAACATAGTAGCATGCTCCATTTAAATGAGCCCCATCCTGTCCCCCCAAACTGCTGCTTTGTATAAACTGGATAAACCCATTAGCCATAACTTATGTTAAGAAATAAACAGCTAGACTTCTTGTAATACTAAGGCCTTTCAGCTCAAGACAAATTGACTGTCAGTTAACAGGTTCTCATTTCTTCAGCAATCTGCAGAATTTAACAATACAACTGAAGAGTAAATAAAAGGGATCATTCTATAGTCAGTATATAAATTTAAAAGATCCTGCAGATAGGAACTCCCTGAGCAATTTATTATGAAGTACCTTCTGTTTGTTTACTTAATACTGGTATATGTTGAGGGCATCAAGAAGAAATATCAGACACAGTCACTCTTGACTCCTTAGGAGCTTATAAGCTAATTGAGGAAACAAAACACACTATGTAAAGGACTTTACATGTTCAGACAGAGCAAGATGGGGTCAGGAAGGTGTTTGAGTTTCAGTTGACTCTTGGATAGACCCTAAGGCAAGGTTTGCAATGATGTACTTTTGGAGGAAGGTATAAGGAGCATGAGAGAAGGGAAATGAGACAGGGAAGGGAAGGCAGCCAATAAAGGGAGTCTTACTAGCCAACTGTCACTATGGGCCACTAGAAATTAATCATGTGAGGCAACACCAGTAAATAGTACAGAGCACACATCTTAGAGTTATCCTACCCAAGGGGTGGGAGAGCTAAGGTAGTTATATTCCAACTCTTATCAGGGCTAAAATTGGGGTATTGGGGGCTCCCCTGGAGGCATTAGCTCCCTAGCACTTCAGCCTGCCCAGCACCAGGGCCAAATAGCCTTCTGCAGCCCCAGAAAAAGCCCTCAGGTATAGTGAGCAGGTACTGACAGCTTGAAGTCATTCTGTGCACATAAAACAGAAGGGTCCAAAGAATATGGGTAAAGGGACTGCCACAGGAGGATTCTTCATGGAAGTGGGACTCGACAGTGCTCTTTCTCTTCTCTCCCCAGGTCTCTTCATGATCCTATCCCTGTTGTCCATTGTGTACGGAGCCTTGCGCTGCAACATCCTAGCCATCAAGATTAAGTATGATGAATATGAGGTCAAAGTGAAGCCTCTGGCCTATGTCTGTATCTTCCTCTGGAGGAGCTTTGAGATTGCCACTCGTGTCATTGTCCTGGTTCTCTTTACCTCCGTCCTGAAGGCCTGGGTGGTGATGGTCATACTCATCAACTTCTTCAGCTTCTTCTTCTATCCCTGGATCCTCTTCTGGTGCAGTGGCTCCCCATTCCCTGAGAACTTTGAGAAGGCCTTCAGTCGGGTGGGCACCACCATCGTGCTGTGCTTCCTCACCTTTCTCTATGCTGGTATCAACATGTTCTGCTGGTCAGCTGTGCAGCTGAAAATCAACAGCCCTGACCTCATCAGCAAGTCCCAGAACTGGTACCGGCTACTGGTGTATTACATGTTGAGATTCATTGAGAACGCCTTCCTCCTCCTCGTGTGGTATTTTTACAAGACCGACATCTATATGTATGTGTGTGCACCTCTGTTGATTCTGCAGTTGCTCATTGGGTACTGCACAGCCATTCTATTCATGCTTGTATTCTATCAGTTCTTCCATCCTTGCAAAAAGCTCTTTTCATCCAGTGTTTCTGATGGCTTTCAGAGGTGGCTAAAGTATGTTTGCTGCAACTGTAGGCAGCAGAAACCCTGTGAGTCTGCAGCAAAGACAGATATAAGGTTACCCGGAGGTAGAGATGAGACACCTTCTAGCAGTAAAGTAAGTTCTGTGCCCAGCCAGATCTTCACTACTGATGAGCTCTGCCCTGCTTAATAGGACCTGAGCCTTCTTGGGGTACAGACATACTGTTTTCTTCGTTGATCCCTGTTCTTCACAAGTGATGAGCCCTGCACAGTTAGCAAAGCAGGAAATTAGCTCTCAACTCCTTGTGAGTTGCTCCCCTTTAGAGAGCTCTTGGGTGTGTGGAAACTATGAAGAGAAGCCAGGAAAACCCCTGAGTGTTGGAGGGGCAGTCTAAGGCACCACCATTCCAGTTGACCATACTGTCCTAGGTGTCACTGGCCTTTTCACTGATGAAGTACACATGATATCTGACTTGGGCTGGTTAGATCCGTCAGGTTAGTTTGAGGACAGGGGCTTTCTTGTTTTCTAGTTTTCTGGACTGCTGGTCTAGATAGCCTAATGTTTTATTATCCCCAAATATAGTTTTCGCCCAAGAGCTGTTCTGCTGACCAGAGGTAACTGGGGTTTTGTTATCAGCAGCATCATTCCTGTCAGAGTTTCCAGAGAGGGCTGTTCAAGTTTGGCTTTTGAATAGATAGATCTTCCATTTTCATCTCATTAGGGCTCTTGGTACATAACCAACTGTAGTCATCTTGGCCTGCTATCTCTAATTGATTTTTAAAGTCTAGATTTGGAGATTTAATTCCCCAGAATCCATGGATGTAGTATTATGGAAGCCCTAGGACTTTAGGAAAGTTGTGTTCTTTCAATATGTTAAAGAAGTTCTGAATCAAGAGGTTGTTAAAACATCAAAATGAGGTAGGATTTTATAAGCTCAATTCTTACTTTCTCAGGATGGATCTGCTGGAAGGTAGGCTTAAACCTTTCAAGGTTCAGTCCTGTGCTGCAAGTCTGAGAAATTTCCAGTGGAATTGCTAGAATTTGCCTTGTTAAGAAGGAAGAAAATAAAACTCATAATCTTCACTCCTTTCTTCCTTGACTGTCAGGAAAATTTTAAACAAGAGTTACCTTGGTTAACTTAAATTTTCTTGAAAACTCCACAGAACTGTCTCACCTAGTACAGGTATATAGGGCATTTTAATTTTCATTATTTGAAGGAAGAGCATTTCCCTGTCCATTAGATATTGACTTCAGAAAAATTTAAATTATAGAAAGAGATGAAATGGCCAAAAGATTTTTGTATTTAACTATATGCCCTTAGATTTGGCATGAGTTAATTTGAACAAGAGCTCCAATTTTATCCTACTATATTCTCTTATCTTCAGTTAATTTCTCCTGTAATCTAGAGCCCTATTTGTTTCCTAAAAGGATTGTGTAGCATATCCTCAATTGTCTTAGGAAAATGCCTGGATCTAGTGCCATGACTTCTATAAAAACCTTAATAGTGAAATACCTGGAAACTGGTGACCTGTCATTGACTAAGCTGGACATTGCAGACCAGTCAGGCTTGACAGCCTAAAGACTCCTAACAGCAGAACTTTCTGACCCATCTGGTTTCTAACAGCCAGTCTGTCAGGGGACAAGTTAAAAATGTTAAGTTTGAACAGGAGTTTATAGTCAGAAGTAGACAGAGATGGAGAGCCTGGTACTTCCTATCCTTGGTTTAGAAGCCTCTCTCAAGAACCATTATAAAATCTGAGCCTTCAAATACATTCTAAATCATTTTAGTACCAAAGATAGGTCAGCATCTTGAGTAATCCCAAACCAAACTCACAGTGATGGTTTATCAGAATGCCAAAGCCTATTTATAGGCCACATTTCTAAGGATAAGAGGTTTGGTAATTAAATTGGATATTTTGTCATCTTTTAACCCTTGATATACAGATATTCCTGGTTTGAGGCCATGTATATCCATTCATTTTGGGAGAGAGAAACCACTGCTTGTTTTCTGCATGTTGAATACTTAAGTCATGGTGAACTGAGAATTTTTAATCTAAAATTATTTATATTTTACCTCTGCAGTGGCAAAGTTACAGTTCAGACTACAGAGCTAGGTTGCCCTAAAGACAAATTAGCAAGTTTCCTCTGCAATGAGAGTTAAAATGGGTTTTTCAATTATAATTCCAATTTTTAAAACTCTCAGTGCTTTGTCTAATTAATTACATGCCATAACTTGTCACGACAGCTGCTCCAACTGAATCATTATTTGGCTATATGGAGGTGAAGTATTCCCTCAAAATATGTCAAGATAAGATCATTAAACATGTTTGGACTTCATAACTGGAGACAGTGCAGTATAGAGATTGGCATCTCCCTGTCCAGCCCTACGAGTTACTTAATTGCTCTATACCTTAGTTTTTTCGCCCACCAAATTTGAATGACGTATTTGCCCAGCCTACCTCACAAGGTTGTTGGAAAGATCAGTTAAATAATAGTTGTGGAAATGCTTTGAAAATATTTTTTAAATGTCATGCATATTTAAGTAGTTGTTAATATAGTCATTCAAGTCCATAAACAGATCATTATTATTTTTTTACTGTTAGAAAAGAAACATGTAGTGTCATCCATAAGAGTGTTTTGAGTGAACATGTTGGCCTTTGGCCTTACAGAAGGGCAAGTGTAAATGGTCTTTACTCTTAGAGAGAATCTGCAGTGCCCTTTCTCTTACCATCAGTTTCTTTCAAAAATTAGCGCCCAAATTTATGCTCAGTGAAATAAGCCAGGTGGAGAGAGACAAGTACCAAATGATTTCACTCATACGTGGAGTATAGGAACAAAGAAAAACTGAAGGAATAAAACAGCAGCAGAATCACAGAACCCAAGAATGGACTAACAGTTACCAAAGGGAAAGGGGCTGGGGAGGATGGGTGGCAAGGGAGGGATAAAGGCGGGGAAAAAGAAAGGGGGCATTATGATTAGCATGTGTAGTGTTGGGGGGGTGCCACGGGGAGGGCTGTACAACACAGAGAAGTCTAGTAGGGATGCTGCAGCATCTTACTACGCTGATGGACGGTGACTGTAATGGGGTTTGTGGGGGGGGGGACTTGGTGAAGGGGGGAGCCTAGTAAACATAATGTCCTTCATGTAATTGTAGACTAATGATACCAAAAAAAAATTAGCATCCAAACATGTGGTACTTGGAGGAAAAAGACCAACTGAAATCTGAGAAATGGCTTTTGATGGCAAATGAATTTATAATTTTTTATATCTGTCATCTTTCCTAAAAGACACAGTAGCATCTTTTAGGAATTGTGCTTTACTGAAATCTGAGAAATGGCTTTTAATGGCAAATGAATTTATCATTTTTTATATCTGTCATCTTTTCTAAAAGACACAGTAGCATCTTTTAGAAATTGTGCTTTACAACTTGAACGTGTGATCCTGCTAGACTTTAACTGAATGTGGATTTGATCTTTTCAGCCTTGTAAATGGGAAAATAAATATTAAAATTGTCAAATACATCATTTCCTTGGAAACCACCTTAGAACATTAGTGCTATGGTTATAGTTTATGTGTCAGTACTTCTCAGCCAGTAAATTGTGGATGTGAGCTTTTGCAGGCTGTTTCTCTGCAGCCATTGACTCTAATAAATATCATTTATGGTTCTTCTTATAATAAATTAATTTTCAATTTCTCCTTGCATTTCTTCATTCCTTACAAAGTCCTTTCATGGCTTTTTTACTTCAGGGACTATTTTAAAAATAGAAGTTTGAAAATGGTTTTGTTGTGATTAATTATGGATTTGTAACCTCACCTGGAAATTCCTTCTGTAGGAAGAGACATTTAAGAGTGCTAGAATTCTGCCTTGCGAGAGACACTAACAGTCCATGGAATCTCCTCTGATTGTTTTGTAAGCATTGACTCCATTTGTTAAAGCTGCACTGCTGGATACTACGATTCTGCTCAGCTGTCTGTTGATTGCTGTGTGGGATACAAAAAGAAAGGCAATGTAAATCTCATCTAGACAAACATAAATAGTATACTGTCTCATAAATATAAAATACTGAAGGGGTGACTTGATATTAACATAAACAAATAGTCAAATGTAAATGATGATCAGTGGTTGGAAAATACCATTTATTAAAGGGGTTATTTCAGAACATGAGATAGACATGGATTGTTTCAATAATTCTTTTTCTTTGGAAGGTGACCTTGCAATTTAGAAAGACTTAACTATAGGATAAGTCTCTGAAAGAGAGCTCTTGGTGTAAAATCAACCTCTTGAGAAAACCCAGTGTCAATAAGTACAGTGTTTAAATAGGTCAGTCTAAAATGACTTCATTTTGTGCTTGTAAAGGTCTTATTTTGAATTAATTTTGAGCAAATAGAAGAGTCTCAAGAATAGTGCAAGGAATTCCTTCATATCCTTCACCCAGATTCAACTATTAACATTTTGCCATGTTTCCTTTATCATTCTCACTTTCTTTCACCCCTTTATTACTAAATACATCAGTGTGTATTTCCTCATGACAAAGGCATTCTCTTACATAGCCACAGTATAATGATCAAATTTGGGAAATTTAACATGAATACAATACTAGTATCTAATCTAGAGCCCATATTCCATTTAACAATTGTGCCAACCTCTTCATTTGTTTTCACAAAACTTCCTCAACAATGTGAATCTACTAAGTTCTCTATGGGGTTCTTTTTATTTAAAGTTATGAGTATATTTTAACTAGTCATGAATGCTGGGGAAGCAACAGATTTTGAAAAGCTATTTGAAGAAAACATATGCATGTTCTCAGTATGACTAATAGCTTAAAACCATAAATTTGGAATTTTTACTGGTAAATGGTAATTCTTTTTCATAGATAACCATTTTAGTTATCAAATATTTGCTGCTTAATATGTGAGCCTGTAGTTCACTCCCCTCCCCTCCTGCTCCCCCTGTGATAGTTTGTGATAGTTGTGTTTTATAGCATTTAGGCCCAAATTTGTAAAGATTAGGAAGGGAATGAGGGAAGTGTATAGATTATTCCTCTATGGCCGTATTTCTCTGGGTATCCCCTTTCCAGGAGACTGCATTCTCTATGAATATCTTCCAAATGGGATAGAGCTCAGAAATGTCAAATATATACTGTGTTAAATGAGTAACGTTTTGAGCCTTTTCTATTATTCAGAAAAAGGCACTTCTAAGCAGCATAGATTTGTACAGAGCTGAGAATTCAGAAACACCCTCAATTCCTTCTTACCCAGCATACAACAAACCCTATCAGACTAGGTCCCTAACCTGCTAAGAAGCTGTGTCTGCTGCAGAAGCCTGCCCGAGGGAATGCCTCACTCCTCCTTGTCACCCTCTCAGCATGACTTCTCTGGAAATTATTAGGCCAAGTTGTTCCAAGACAGTGTTGGTTTTATCAGGGGACCCAGAGCATCTTTGAGGAGTATAGAGCAGTATGCAGTTGCATCCCTTTGCAGCAAGTTGTGTCAGAAAACTTCTCACCCAGACTCAGCTGTGGCATACACCTCTGTGAGGCGGTTTCAGGGTTTGCCTCCTCGCAAGGAGAGAGTCATCCGGATAGATTTTATAATTCTGCCTGTGTTTCTGTTCCCTCCCTGCCTCCCATCCTGAATTAATTCTCTCTTTCTGAATGATGAGTTCCTGATTGAAGGCTGATGAGCTTGCTTCGAGCCCTGGGAATATCACTCTCCTTAGACATCTGCATTATGCATAGTTTAATTCGTTATCAGTTGGCTTCCTATTTTAATTACTTAAACTCTACAGATAATGAGTCAGGTTTTCAGGAGCCATAGCACTCAAGAAACGAAACAGGATTTAGAAATTCTCTTTTGCAGTGGTGCTATAAGATCATCCCCACCACCACCCCTTTGAAGAGGAGAGTTTTTCAACAAGGTGACCTTCTTAAATGGAGTGGCAGAACCTTCTAGAACAGTGGTGCCCAGCTGTAGGGCTGCAGACCTCCAAGAATTGGAGAGGCACTGGACTCCTCTCCACTAACTAGAGATGTTTGTATACTAACTAGAGATGTCTGATGCACACTTGTGCAATTATTTTTCAAACCAATGGGTATACTGTTGTGAGTGATACAGGACTGATTAAAAGTGTCGCTGTATTTAAAATAACTTCATCATTATCTCCCAACCCTTACCATGAACAGATGTTAAAAATTCCACAACTATCATGTGGAAGGCAACCTTAAAAGACGGCTTTTGTAATGAAATGTTGGAAACTACTACCCTAGATGGCTTTTTCCTCTGCTGGAATATTTTCTCACATGTACTTACAGTATACTCTTTTCCTTTTAAAATGAGAATTTTTCACATGCATATCTCTTGGCTTCTCTTATTTCCAGCAGGATTCAAGAGATGGGAAAATATTTTATTTTGATAATGTAATGTGAATGTCCTCTCTTCAAAAATTAAGTGATCTACCTTCCCACAAAGTATGTCATCAAGTTAAAATGCTTTTACAATTTCAAAGCACTAATAAACGTATTATTAGCATAATAACCATCAAAATAGTGAAGTGATTTTTCCATATTCTTCAATTCACCTCCCAATTCTCTTCTTTGGTCTTATTAGAAATTATATCAAGGTGCTTTCAGCTATAGTTTATAGAACACCTGATTAAAAGTGGCTTAAACAACAGGATTTTGCTATGTGAAGTAAAAAGTTTGGAGAGAGATGATTCTAGATTCCAGGAGGCCAAACAGCCTCAGGCCCTGGAGGCTTTCCAGCTTCCTTTCTGCCATCTTCAGCCTGTTGCTGCATCTTCATGCTTGTCTCCTTATGATTGCAAGATGGCAACCTGTGCTCCAGGTGTCACATTTACACAACTGAATCCAAAATTAGAAAGGAGATTTCCCTTTGGGTATGTTATTTTAGGAGGAAAATCTTTCCTAGAAGCCACGCAGCACCCACAACAGTTTCCCAAATTTCTTATTGACTGGAGTTGAGTCCCATCCCCACTTCTAAAGCTGTCTCTGGCAAAGAGAATGGAATTGCCATGGTTTCCTTTGACTACACAGCATTCACTCCTTGGAGCTGATAGAGGTGCCACCATCCCCTAGCTTATGGGAGAAAGAACAGCCACGAAAATAAGGTTCTGCAAGAGATGAGTGGGGGAAATAGTAATTTGCTGGGTAACCTGTAGTGTCTTTCATTGGCATTTTTAAAAATAAAGACCCAGCTAAGCTGATGAACTGGAGAAGGGTAGAAATGGTCCCTAGCCCCTCTTTCCAAAAAAAAAAAATCCCATACTTCATTTCCTCATTCATTATATGTCCCTCTGGAAGAAGTCACATATTGAATAAATAGTGGCAATTACACCCAATTAGCCTGTGAGAATGCCTCCTAGTGGGGTGGTTTAGTGCACAACATTGAAATTGTAGAGCTGTGGGCATCTAGAAGGAGCAGGGGGGTGGGAGAGTTCCTCTTAGCTCTGAAGAATCAGGCACCCCAGAAGTTAGAGGGAGAAAACCAGATACTTAAAGAGTGCTGCTGTGGGCCAGGTGCTGGACTAGGCACTGAGGGTAGTCTGGTGAGTGAGAAACTACCTCTGGTTTCCAGAAATCAATCTATTTGAAGAGGCAGACACCCAACTTGGTGATTTCAACACAGAGGTAAGAAATCTGATAGGAGTATGCCCAGGAGGTCCAAGGGACAGAGGTAAGTAGCCCAGATCTGCTCTTGGAGGTTCAGAGAAGATTCACAGGGAAAGCAGCATAAAATCTGAGACCAGACATGAATTTACCCTGAAGTTCATAAAGCTTAAACCTTAGGCCCCCCAGTGAATGCTGGGAGTTGTAGCATGTTCTAGGTGGCAAGGAGAAGTCAGGAGACTATTGGGAAGCAC